ATTGTCATGTTTTTAGTGCATGAATCTGAATTGAACAACCTGATAATGCTCACTCTGGTTATTGTTATCTGGTTGCTCACTACGTGCTCTTGCGCGCCGAATCCAATCAATTAAAAATGAAAACTGTTGCCAGCGCGAGAAAAGAAATATCATCGGTTTTATTGATACATACATACGTACGTATTAGCGTTTTATATAATATAATATAGATAGATATCGGCTAATTTATCCTTCTCGTCACATTTATATTAGTCTAATATAACCAATTGATACACTAATGTAAAGAATCGCAAGCCCGGTTTCAGTCACATAAAAACAATAAAAGCTGTATAAGTATCACAATTAAGATTTTACATAAAATCTTATAGTTAGTCTAATAATTTGTCCAGGGACTGTATATGATTACCCCAGCAAGGCGATTCAAGGATTTAAAAAAATAAATAAAAGAGAAAATTAAGTTCCAAAATTAAGTTAAGAGCACCGTTTTCTGTATCGCCCTGGGCGTGACAACGTTTTCCGACATCACTGGTTTGTTATTGTTGAACTAATAATATTGTTGATATTACAACAATATTGTTGAACGCTCATTCCTGCTGAATACTTTCGTTCAACAATAAATAATTCCGACTAGGATGACAGAGACTGATATAGGGGATTAATATAGAGCAGGGGTGGCGAACCTTCATGCACCAACGTGCCATTTTTTCTAAAATGTATTTTAATGAGGTCATAGACGTGCCGACAAATAGTTTTGACTTCGTGATTATTGGGTAAATAATAATACTAAATACTATCAACTCAAAACTCTTTATTTAGTACGAAAAAAAATTTTTTTGCAATGTCTCAGTTATACGCGTAATTCAACTTAAAGTAACATAAGTGTGACTTCTGTTGTTGCAGATTAGATGACAAATAACTTATATTAAGTTGTAAGATGTTAGTTTAAGCAGAACTGTTAATTTTTTATACTAGTTATTTATTGTTCGCTTGTAATTTATGGTTATTAATTACTTTTTGGCCTTAATTGTTCTTTTTTTGTGAATTTTAATTGAATTGTTAATATGCTTCATAGTGAACTTTGTGATCGGTGGCGTGCCCAAAATATTGTGTCTCGTGCCATAAGTGGCACGCGTGCCATTGGTTCGCCATCCCTGATATAGAGGATAAAATTAGGGGGATTAAGGTATGAACCTATACTTATAGTAAAAACGTAAGACATAAAAGGGGTAATTAGTGATTATAAAAATAAAAATAAAAGCTTATATGCTTGCCAAGTCTTGTTACTTTTCAATAGCTTCGTTTAAATGAATTTTTTGTTGTAATATCTCAATTGAAATTGAAGAAAAAAATTGGCAAGGCATAGGAAATAACTAACAAAACAAAAATCCTGCAAGCATATATTTAGTTTAGCAATCAATCGATAGATGGCGCCATAAATATTTACTCTTAAATCTGGTCTTTATTTTCTCAGGGACTTCATCTGCAGCCAAGGAAGAGCATCATTTTACGTTCGTCCTCTGCTCTTCTGGTATGGAACGAATTAAATGAAGCGTCATCAACATTGCGCGACATTTAAGTTGTTGACATCTTTGTTTTTCTGCTATTGCGAACTCGAGCATTTTGGAGCAGGGAAAAAAATATATTCTTTTTCGAGTGTTATGACATTTATTCATATTTTTTTTTAGATGCACCTTAAATAAATGAATTGATTGTTTGTGTTGATGTTTTTAAAAATTAAATTACAATGATTGTAATACATGTTTGCATCATACTTATGTTGTTATAAGTTTATTCTTATTATTTCTTGCGGTTAAAAAGCAACGTTTTTTTTTTTTATGCACAGTGGGCAAAATAAAATACTCAATAACTTCTGATCTAATGATCGCAACTTCATGTTCTCGCTTGAAGGTTCGAGGGACTAACCACAAATATTCTAATTAATTAAAGCAGACAATATAAGTTATGAAATCAAATACAAAAACGTACTTTCTCTGAATAAACATACCCTTTTTTTCTAAGATTTCGATTTCTGACCCGCGACGGATAGCCGAAATAGGGTCCCAACAGTTTGGTCAGGAAAGTGACCCAAAGTTTTGACCCCTTAACGTTAATTTTACTTCTTTGCGTATTTTACAAAATCTCGACAATTTTTTGAGCGAATTGAAAAATTTTTGCACACAATTGTAAAACTCGTTTATCCCAAAATAATTCCATGAAAAATATAAATTTTTGTAAATATTAATTATTTTCTAATAATTAATAATGGTCGAAAAACTTTTGAATTGAAAAGTATACAATTCTTTTATATTATTTTTATTGATGCACTTCTTACATGGGAAAATACAAAGTTTGAACGAAATCAGCCGAATAGTTGCTGAGAAATCAATTTTTAAAAAAAGTCGTATTTTCAAAATGCGATTTTTTAGGAACTATCCGAGCAAACTAACTCAAATTTCGTATTTTATCATGTAAAATCGTATTATTTATGATGATGACTTTTCGATAAAAAAAATTTTTCGATTTTTATTAGTTAAAAAAATAAATAAATAATTACAAAAATTTCTGTTTTGCATAAAATTATTTTGGGATAAACGAAATTCATAATTTGCCAGCAAAAATGTTCAATTGTCGTGGCAAAAAAAGCAATTCGCCTAAAAAATAGCTAGATATCGTGAAATACGCAAAAAAAGTAAAATTAACGTTCTCTTTATTAAACTGAAAAAAAAGAAGAAAAAAACGTTTTTGTGCCTTATTTTAAAACTTAAAATATCGTCTGCATCACATATTCGAGGTCAGCCCCTAGAACCCTGAAGATATTTGCTGAAAGGAAACAGAATAAACTTTTTTTCTTTAATTTTGCGCCCATTTTTAAAATTAGTAATGTATACTTTTGGACTAAAAGATATTGCCGCCCCATTGAGGGGGAGCAATAGCTGGTCGATGCGAATTTCTGAACCCGAATTTCGAACCGACCACAGTGCGGATGTAAAATATCCTCAGCTGTAGACGAATCATGCATTGGAATACACTTACCGTCAAGCTAACCGTGGGAGGTTTACGTGGTTTTCTTCTCCATGTACCGCACAAATGCGGGTTAGTTCCATCAAAAGAGTCTCCCACGAATGGAAACCAATACTTGATACTGGTCATCTAGTTTGGGTTCAAAATTACAAGGTTACGAAGTTGAATATTGGTAGTTGTAAACTCAAAATTGGGTCGACTGTTCAGCGACAGTTGTAATAATAATAATAAATGGTTCAGCGATGGCTAGTCGATACAAATTTAGCCCTCGTCTCACTCTGACCATAGAACGCTGAAGTAAAATATTCGAAGTAGAAGGCGGATCAAGGGTTGGATTCCTCTCGCCATCAGGATAACCGTGATAGATTTTCGTGGTTTTTTTCTTTATGTAACGCAAGTATGGGCCAGTTCCATCAAAAAGTCCCCTACGAATGCTAGTTTTTCCCCATGCTTTATCGAGAAGTTCCGTTGTCTTCTGGGTTGACTCAAAATTACAAGACCGCGGAGTTGCGCATTGATAATTGCCAAGTTCGAATCGGGTCTGCTGCTTAACACAGGTTACAAAATAAAATGCAAAATAAATTGTTAACTCTTGTCTTGTGGGTTCAAAATTACAAGGCTACTGAGATGAACATAGGTAGTCGTAAACTCAATACTGGGTCGTCTGTTTAACCGACGGTTATAAAATTAAATGGATGGTTAAGGGAGTCGTGGAGGCTAAGGGGATTGCACGTTTGCCTCCCATAGTCAGGTTTGAATCCCAGCTGTTACGAATCAGCACCCGGCTCACACCGACCACAGTAGTGACGTATACTTTTAGTAGTATATTGATCGTAGGTTAGAATCCCGTTGTCATCGGGCTAACATTGGGAAGTTTTCGCGGTTTTTCACTCCATTTAACCCTGAATGTAGGTTATTTCTATCAAAAATGTCTCCAAATGCTTGATCCAAGAGTTCCCTTGTTTTCTGGGTTCAAAATGACAAGACTACGGAGTTGAACATTAATAGTCAGATATAAAATAGAAACACATGCTCAACTCTTTCGACAGTCGGGATAATCACATTAAAAAAAGACTCGTCTAAGCTTGTTCATAATCGTCTATAAAATGAAATTTAACCATTACACTTTTTCAAGTCTTATCTTGACTAATACGCAATAATATTTTTTTTTCATTTAAAAATTTTTAAGTTTATTATCTCATAATAGCA